GACATGGGGCACTGAGACACTGATACATAGGAACACTGAGACCTGGAGTAATCGACACATGGGGGCACCGAGTCACGAGGGCACTGGGAGACATGGGGGCACTGGGAGGAATCCATCTATACAGCAGATTTAAACGAAGTAATTTTTTTGTGATTTTACAGCATTTTCTCTTATGCTACTCCTTGTGATTTACAAAGTGTGATATCACTTTTTGCTGTAAGCACGGTCTTTTCAGAGAAAATGCTGTGTTTACATTACATCCTAGTGATAACTTCACTGGTCACTCCTTAGATGACTGTTAGAGATCCTTCCTGGGTCATGGCTGCCTAAAATGCATCCAAACATTGTGTCTCCTCCCTCTGCATGCAGACACTGAACTTTCCTCATAGAGATTCATTGATTCAATTCAGCTCTATGAGGAGATGCTGATTGGCCAGAGCTGTGTTTGAATCATGCTGGCTCTGACCCTGATCTGCCTCTTTGTCAGTCTCAGCCAATCCTATGGGGAAGCACTGTGATTGGATCAGGCCACCATCTAATGATGTCCGCAGACTGATTGTTTTTATGAGTCTAACAGCATGCAGAGTTACAGCTTCAGGCTTGAATATAGTATGATTTTGCTATATTTATGGATGCATGAGGGGCCAGGGGGGCTAGATGGTGGTGTTAACACTATAGGGTCATGAATTCATGTTTGTGTTCCTGACCCTATAGTGATCCTTTAAGGTAATGCTGACTTTGGTCTCTCTAACACTGTGGCATGTTCCCTTTCTTCTATACTCACTACATACAGCTTTTCTCTGTCCCTGCTAGTAAGAAGGTAAGGAGACAAGTGGACCAGCGAGTGCTAGGGGACAGTCCTTATAAAGTGTTGAGTGAGCGCATCATTAGATGCATGTATGCCAAGCTCAGGGTGCTGTCTGCATAGTATGCCCTTAGTTGGCCAGCTGCATGATTGGCAGGCAGCTTGACATGCATTCATGCCAGGCTGGCCTTCTAATTCTTTGAGCAGACATGTCCTCTTTTTGGGCATGTTCGCCCCTTTTGGCAGGTTACGTGATTTGTGTCAGTGGCACATGCTTTTACCATGCCCATGCTTGACTGGACACTGCTGTTAGGGGT